GTGCAACCATTAAATTTGCCGAGGCGTCGAATACGGCTTGCAAATTGTAAGAGAAAACTCAGTTTTGAATTAAACTAAATCTTAGATGTTCTTCTTTGTTTAGTTGTAATGTTATGAACGTTTAAAGCCATAAAAGTTTAATGAATAAATAGCCTTATATGTATATATATATAGATGACAACTCGTTATGGAACATTCAAGACAGGGTTTGCGGATCTGAGGTGGCGATAACCTTGCCTTTGGGAAGTTCCGCCAAAGAAAGTCTGGAACTTCGGTTACCAATGTCGCGACTATGAATCGGGCGCTAGCATTCAATGCCTAAAGGTCTCATAATGAGAGCGTTCATTAAAATATAATGGAAGGTTTCTCCCATTATGCTTTAATATAACCACATTCCATTTCAGAACAGTTCGGAATAAAAAGATTAAATAAACATAACGGCTGTTCTCTAATATTTCTTTATTTTGATAAGCTGTTAGCCCTGGTAATTATCGTAAGCTTTCATAATCATCGCTATTCTATCACATGAAGATTGCTATTAATCTGTTTTTCGTATATGGGTTATTTTAGCTAATCGACATTAAATGGGCTTGCGCCACAATATCACAATCCTTTGTTTGGTTACGGTAAAAAATGTAGAGTAGGAAAATTGTAAGCTAGCAGTTCAAATTTGAAAATAAATAAATAATTGGCCTAGAATGATAATTATTTGCTATGTGTTATTTGTCACACACTTTTTTTAGCGTTCCGGCAGTTTGCAGTGGAAAGTCACATATCACGTCCCCATATATAATTATTTATCTATGGTTTTTCCACGGAGATTGATAATGGCATGTGTTTGCCCATTTTTTTAGACATGGAAAGTTCATGAATCCCACGGACTCAGATCGGGAGAAGAAGGGAAACAAACATTAAATATTCCTTTACTCAATCCAGGAACTAATTTAGGTATGGAAGTGAGTCTGTTGTTGTCGTCAAGTGACCACACTGTATTTGACCGATTGCCATACCAACGGTCCATAAGTCTCACGAGTAACTCAACATAGGCAGCTGCATTCCTTGTGTAATTTTTAGCGAATATCATATGGTAGTAGGTGTCCATACCTTACGGCCGAGCGCATTCAGCATGGCCATTGAACTTGATTCCTCTCCAGGGCGGCGTCATTTTTTAACCTAATCCTTCTCCGGCAGGCGGTAGAGATTAAAGCATGCCTCGACTATGACAACCTTCAAGCGTGTTTGTTAATTAAAATTTCGCAAATTGTGCGTCGAATATATCACAGGCAATTTTAATTAGCTGGGGGTCAATTTGCGGGAGACCATTTTTATTCAATTTCCACTTTTTTTTGCAGTATGTTAGCATTTATTTATTTGCAACAACTGTTAGTTTTGGCCGATAGAGCCCTTAGACTATAAGCTTTGCTTTCATAAAAAGCTTCCTTTATTGTGGCAACGCATTTTTGCTTTTTGGGTCCCGACATCTAGTAGTTTCCTCGCGGGCCTTCAACACTCCAATTTTTATTCTTGAAACGCTTTTGCTATTCACGTACTTCCTTTTACTTAGGGCCTCCTTACTTAATGCCTACACCAATCTTCGATAAGTTTCCGCAGATCTGTGACTTCTGAAAAACAAAAGCTTATCCACCGCATGTTGACCTTCGAGGGTAAAACGTGTCTTCCCTGAAGTCCTTTCCCCTAAAGAAAACTCAACCAGTTTTCTCTCATAGGCATAACTATAATAATATAGTATTTACCAGCCAAATTCCGTCTGCTACTAATTCGCAGTTCAAAAGCTATTCGGTTCCAAAGTCCGTCGGCTTCTCTTGTAACAGTGTGATAAATACGTGCAAATAGGATAGAAAGGCGATTTTGAGCAGAAGAAAGCTATGGTCTCAAACGAAAATCAAGCGACAATTTGAAGTTCAATTATTATAATGCTTCTCTCAGGTCAGAAAAAATATCGTTCTAAAACGTTCGCAACAAAACAGTGCCCTTAATAATAAAGCAAGTATTGAGTAACCTTTGGAATTGTTGATACTCGTCCGTTTTTGGTGCTAGAACTACTTTTGTAATACATTTTGTAAAAAAAAACAACAAAATTCGCACATTGTCTAGAATATGATATCTACTGTTTCGAGTATCACGTCCGGTATCGCTATCAGGCATTCTAGACCTAGATCACAACATGTCTCTAATATTAGCAGACATGTATGTTATTGACTAACCTATCACAGATTTGCAATACTATTTTGTCCATGCATTACTGATCGCTAGTGCTACGATACTGCAGCACAAAAAATCTATCATACAACATATTAAACAAACATAAATTTCTGTCTTAATGAGATAAAACACAAATAGATAAATAGTACAAACAAAAATTAAAATAGAATCCTTCAACTTTGGAATATTTAGAAGAATATTTAAAGATTTCTGAACAATGTGATAACTGTTTTTTCTCGCAAAGCCTGTGTAATAGAAATTGTTATATATTTAATCGCCCACTAATATAAAAATTATAGAAACGCCCCATTTCGGCAGAACAGAAACAAGCATGTAGAAACTATTGAACAGGAGTTCCAAATCTATCAGTCGGTCCAACCAGCTGAAGCAGCAAGAAGGGGCATTTGAAACGATAATACGTTCACTCGGATGATGCTTAAACGATTCCAAAGTGAATGCATTACGCGTTTATATTGCTCCTAATATCTTTGGTATATGCAGGTTATTCTCTTCAAGTTAGTTTTATGCTACACTTTTATGAGGTTTAAAAATTATTTCTAAAGATAGTGGGTTCTATATAGCCACTTTTTTTGGCCATCATGTAGAGCACAGTATTCTTGACAAGTTAATAGTAATTTGACATCATCACACATTTCATCGAAACAATTAAGATTCCTACACAAATACAATGTATTGAGCAAAAAAAACTCCTTTCGTATTAATATAAAATATTTAGAGTTTAATGAATTTGATACCGCGAACATTGAAATTATATTTCGCTGTGATTCAATAGTGTCTTTGCTTTAGACTTTTTGCCACGGTTTTCGACTTTGTTTTAATCCCAGTTTACAGACAAGACTGCGACGAATAATAGTAGTAAATATACGTACTAAAAGGCTATGTATAATTTCGAGCCGTCGATTTAAAGGTTGCTTGAGAGGCGACTTGGTCTAGGGTCTTTAAGCTTAACGGCTCTTTGAGTTCTTGAGCTGAAAGTACCTGTGGCTTTGAGGCCGCAAATAATGCCTCTGCAGCCTCTTCGGATAAATCCCCAAAGCTTCTAATTTGTGCCTTCTGTTTCCATCTTCAATATAAAGAACAACACATTTCTCTATGGGAATATTAAGTGTAACCTTGACATAAATGATAAGAATTGCTTAAAACATCTTTGCGTTAATTCTACAAGTATCTTCGTCACGCTTCGTCTGTGAAAAACATTTTGATATTGTTTGCACAGAGTTTGAAGTTTACATCGGCGATAGCTTGCGTATGGAATTTATATGACAAAGAAACGCCAAAAAATCAAGTAGGATTCCCCTAGAGCACTTGAACGTGGTCCTTCCTTCTTCTAGCTACGAATCGTTCACGTTAGCGTGACACATCCTGTCTTGCAGAATAGCTTCTATTCGCTTACCTAGTTTCTACCGTGCTTCATTTTGCAGTATTACGTATACGAATTTTAAAGGTTTAAAGAAATTTGAAGGTCAAGTAAAATGTGAGCAGGTAACGTTAATAAATCCACTTTCACTAACACATGTTCTTATTTTTATTGGTAATTTTCAGAACGTTTGTTTTTTTGCTTTGTTTTTTAATCTTTTTATATATTCATATCCCAGCCAAATTTATCCAATAATAATTATCACAATAATAATCGAAGTCCTGGTGATTCTACAAGATCTACATACTAGCCGATACTACACGACATCCGTGCATCCCTCAAACTAAATGAAACAGGAATCAATTTTATTTTCTCTTTAAGTTAGACCTCGCGTTTTCCTTAAGAATAGGAAAACAGCATTTGAAGCCGTTAATTCTAAACGAATGTAATACGTCTGGATACGCATGGCTTCATAAAAGTGAGGAAAAGCTGAACTTCTTTGATAACCCTTGATACAATGATGGCGTATCACAGTATTAGGACGAAGCTATGACAGTACAGATGATACTCCAAGCAGTTCGTGAACTATGATTTAGACCCTTGTTAAAACACTTGAACCACACTGGAAATTATCGAAAAGATATCTCTGTTGTACATATATATTCTATTTAGACGGCTTTGCTGGGAAACGCTTCGATTTTTTTATTTACTAGCCACTGTAAAAATTCGCAGAATTCGACTTGATAAACAAAGCATTAGAATTACTCTATGACAAAAGTCACTGTCCAAACATTTCCAACTAGTATTGAGTAGTGTTTATAGCGCAGAGCAATTTGTTTAAAGAACCTGCTTCTATGACTAACTATGCAAAACGTTGATCTGTGGTTAGCTAAAAGGTTAGCTTATATTAGTTCAAATAATGATGCTAAATGCCTCATAAAAGATTATATTGGCACAAAACGTTACAGTTACGTAAACTGACTTCAACATCATAATTCTAGTTAGTTCACTGGTTACAAAATAATCTTAAACCCGTTTCATGGCATGGTTTATGTGATAGTTTTTTTCTGTAACAGCTGAAACCTGTTAACATCATTGTCCCTGCACTGGGGTTACTAGTTCTCTCGATGAACTATCTTCAATTTTGCTCCATGATTCACGAAACCATTTAATAGAGCGGACTGCATGCGTAAACAGCCCCAAGTAACTACTTGTTTACGTGAATGACATCAATGTAAAAACTCCGCAACGAAATGGAGCTTTGCACGATATTGCAACTGCATTGATTGGAATGGACCTCGGACCAGATTAACCAAATAACCACCTTACTTCACCACCAACGTCCAATAGCTTACTTACGAAGAGTACTTTACTTCAAGGACAAATTCATGTAATGCATACTACATTAATTTCATTTATTATTGTATATACACAATGTGGAATAGCATTAAATATTAGTAAGAATAGTATTATCCGTTACAAACATATGTGCGAGTAGCGTAGCAACATACGTCATAAAGAATTGCTTGTTTAGGCTTGAACATTATGGAAGAGACTTAAGTAGCCGAGCTGAGCCTGTTTTTCAAGTTCAGCAAGATCGGCAACAGTTGGTGCCATCTGTTGAACGTGATTCGCGTACAGTGAGCATGATGTGGTCTTTCGCTTAGCACCGTACGTAACCTTGCCATCGAATTCGTCAGCCGGAACATCCAATTCTTTGTCCACCTATAATTACGCATAAGCGAAAATGGATCGTGTATTAGTTCGTCGTTATTACTATAGAGTTGAATATAATCTTTCTGTTTAGAATTTATACTAAAAAAGAAATGAAATTACTAACAGTTGACTTAAGTTACTGTTTAAATAATCGACTTTATCGTAGCACTCATATTTATTTGTTAAGTGTATTGGTTATTGCGATTTCATGATCGGTGTTCACACGATTCTTGAGCTCGCATGTTCAAATAACTAGATATAAATGAATTAACGACATTCTAATGTTAAACGACAAAACAAAATAGCATTTCAATATGAATTACAGGGAAAAGTCTTAGATGGTATATATATGAGCAGCCATTAAACGAGAAAAGCCAAAAATGAACCATAATAGCGGGACAGTCAAAGGCACAGTAAAAACATTTTTTTTTCAGTGTAAGCCTATCCAGGATGACTACCAACTGTTTTATCTATTGATCCAAAAAAAGTGAGATTTCGGAATGAAAGCTTAAAAACGTATAATTTGTCGGCAAGCCCAATGTGCATTTACTGATGCATTACCGTTTTCGAGGTCTCGACACAATTCTGTTTGTATGCTTGGCACCCATTTCATTTAAAAAAAGAACCTTTAATTATAAGCAAGGAGTGTTCTCACACTTTTTCTTGAAGTTCATATTTTTCCAATAATTTGTACTCTCTTATTACCTATCACCACTGTTTATCATAATAATCTTGACGTGTATTGACTGCGGGATTTATAATATGACCGAGTAAATACCTCAATTATTTGACCTAAAATTAACTAAAATAAATTATTATTTCATTAGGCCTTACTACGGATTTTTTATTGAGCATCGAAAAAGCAATCGAACGTAACCACAATTATAGTTCTGTTGTGACTAAATTTTAAGACAATCTATAAAGTGAAATGGGTTTTCGAGTTTTTTCCATAAAGAAAAAACTAATTCTTAAAAATGATGCAACTTATAAAAAAAATTAAATGCATCGAAGTTTCCTCACATTTCTCCGTAAGCCTTACCATTTTTAAAAAAAAAATGTAAAATCCTGATCCTAAAATCATTCCGTACATTTAAATGGGAATGAACTCACGATGGATATATCGACTCACTTTATTTTTGTATAAACTATCAAAATATTGTTGTACTGCATATCAATAAATAAATGTATTTCTCGTATATGGATGCCTACTACCTAGAACTCGTGAGCAATCCTTACCTGCATAATTGTATCTTTGAGATGCTCTTCAATTTCCGCAAGATAGTTCTGTTCATTGTACCATATGCAACATCCGCCCTTGTCCGTTAAGTTTGTGTTATAGCACCCTCTGCCTCGATTAGCACAGTTCGAATGATACCAGACCTTTTCGGGTACAGATGCCACAAGCGAAATGGCTAGACCCATTCGGTCCGCCCTACCAACACGACCGATTCGATGAACATAATTTGCCTTATCATCGGGCAATGTAACGTTGATTACGTATGGGACACCTTTAATGTCTATTCCACGAGCGGCCACGTCAGTACAAATGAGGAACCGGACTCGTTTCTGTTTAAATTTTTCGAGATTTGCTGTACGTTCATGCGGTTTGCGATCGCCGTGGAGACAGACGCATGAGAGTTCAGCGTCACATCGAGCATTTGGACCCCCGCCATGCAACTGAAAGTACTGCTCGAGATTATCGCAGTCGAGCTTTGTCCGGCAAAAAATAATGCCTTGATCCATTTTTTGTTTCCGAATGGCTCGAATACAGTATTCGCCCTTGAGAATCTTGATCGCTTCAGAGAGACCTTCCGGGCCAGTTTTAGAGTCGCGGGCGTGTACTCCATCGGTAGTAATGTGTCGACTCAGTGTACGCCACGATTCGTCTTTTTGAGGATTGACAATACACACCACATGATGCACAGTTTCCGGAACGCTGTCTTCACCTTTAAGATCCACCCATGTTGGAAAATGCATAAGCTTGTCCGCTAACTTTTTCACTTCGAACGAGTGAAGCGTTGCCGAACACACGATCATCTGCAATCGTTTGCCGTTAGCGGTGAGTTTGGGAATTCGCTGATGAATTCTTTCAATTAGGTTACCATGACCACCGCTAAGCAAACCATCAGCTTCATCCAGAACTAAAAATTTACATTGGTTAAGTGATAGTTTACCCGAAGAAATAAGGTCTTCAAGTCGACCTGGCGTTCCAACTACGACGTCAACGCCAGCTTTGAGTATATTTAGTTGCTCTTGAGCAGCCCCTCCTCCCGTAATACAGAGACACTTTACCCGAGGCTCATGAAGGTACTTCGAGAAATTTTCAAGACATTTCATTGTTTGATCGGCTAGTTCGCGTGAAGGTTCAAGTATGATAGCTTGTGGAGCATGAGGTTCGTATTTCTGCACGACCGGACCAGATCCAAGAATCGTATTGTTAGTAAAATTAGATGCATTAGCAAATGCTATATAGCTATTTTCAGGCGGGTGTTTGAAGGGTTCCGCTCCAAAATTAAATGACATTTCAGCGTTCTTTAAAACAACCGCAGGGAAAAATGGGACATTGCGAAGCTGTGATCCAATTTCAAACGCTGTACCAAAGTCAACTCCGTTTTTGGACCATTTAATAATGTTGTTATCCAAATCTAGATAACATCCGATTACGTCATGAATGCCGAACGCTTCTCCATAGCTATCAAAGTTCTTATTATAAGATTTCTTGCCTGTTCCTCCAAATCCGTAGCCCTGCTTGTCGGTGCCAAGGTCCAGTTGGGCTGTTTGAGTACTCCAACCCACCCTGCATAATCCCTCGTCAGTTACTTTGGCTTCATAATAATACTTGCCCTTGTCTGACACAGCTTTTGTCGCTCGGCAACCATGCCAACCTTTGGGATCTCTAGCCTGTGCGGTCAGCCCATCGGGACTAACGGCCAACTGCTGTGTTCGATCGTGAAAGCTCAGTTGTAACTTGACATTTCCAGTCGCTGATGAGGTATGGCTTTTTCCTTGAAGATTGTCCTTCATAGTCTCCCAGACGATCTGAACGATGGGTAAAGAGAACGCACCAGTTTTACCTGAGCCTGTTTCAGCTGCCATTAGTACGTCACCCCCACCAAGGATAAGAGGGATGGCTTCGGCCTGAACGTCTGTTGGTAGGTTCCAGTCCAATTCATCGACCGCCCGGGCCACGTCAGGAATGACGCCCATTTCTTCAAAAGCTGTCATATCGCCGGTGTCTTCGCGTCAGCTGCAATACGCAGAAAAATAAATGCATAATGATGCTAATCCCAAATCTTTCATATTAAACAAAATAAAATAACGAAACAAAATGCCACTCATATATTCAAATAATGGCTTCCTTCAAAAGAACGAATTCCAGTGAACTAGATGTTGAAATTCTTCCACATCGAGATGGCACGTCGGTTGACATCAATCTGGGACGCCGTCGATTGAATAAATGGCTACTGCCTTAGTTAACTTGGGTCAACTAAATAAAAAAGGTAATTCTCGTTTTTGTCGGATTAGCAATTTTGTTGTACCAATTAAAGATCTAAATATGTATCACTCTTACATGCTTTCGAGAATCTGGTCAAATCCATTAAAAAACTAGCGCAGCCATTTTTTAATTTCAAAAAGAAAATGCTTCGCAGCACCACAGTTTAGTTTCAAGACTCTCTCCTAGCCAATGGTCAACCTATATTACGATGGTCCTGCATTTCCTTTCCACGCTACTTCAAATGGCTTCTTTTTAGTTACACAAATTGTATAGTATCGCTATTTGAATAATACACAAAGTTCGAAAAGCTAATTGCACTACAAAGACTACATGTTCCAAATTAAATCGTAATGAAACAACAAAGATTCCTGGCACATTTGTCTCTATGACAATAAGTGGCGTTGTTAAGACTAGCAGTTTCTTGAGTAGACACACTAAACATCGACACAACTCAAAAACACTCAATGAGTTAGCTTCATTGGCATCTTGCCTGAAAATTGTAATCCGGCTCCTGTGTACTTGCTACCTCACGCCCTCAAAAACCTAATATACCATTAGCACAGCATCATACGCTTACTGTAAACCGCTGACAAATTATTCCATGTATAGAGAAGTTTTCGAGCGTCTGCGACTAAATGCTCATTTATGTAACAGGAGACATATGTAGTGCCTTCGGTCTCCCGGATGTCACAACGCATAATGATATTGAATATCGAAGTTTTTTCGAACTGAGCTAGGAGAATATTTTCTATGATACTGACAGAATCCTAATTCTTACTGTCAACCAATGTACAGATGATAATTCACTTGAAATGATTGCGGTCGGTAACTAAGAGAATATTTGAGACTCCCTTACTTCCGGGAGCTTTCTGACACTGTCCGACACGTAAATAAACACTTGCACGTCGTCTGCTATTTTATTTGAACTGTATGATCTTCCGACCTGTGTTTTTCGTGTTATCTTTATTCAACTGGGGCTGTATAGTGGTCAAGGAAAGCAGTGACCATCGCCTAGTTCACAATGTCGCATAAAATACCCTCAGAGATCGCTGAACGAAGTGAGCTAAGTATTGATGAAGCGCGGTTGGTTGAGAAGCGGCGCCAGCTCCGACAGCAGCTCCGAAAGGAGTTCATCGCAAAAATCATGGATCCTCACCAGCATGGCGCAGGAGGTAAGTTCGGGCTATCACGAATCACGTAATGGGATTCGAAAAAAAATAAAAAGGATTGCTTTGCTAACTTTTTAAAAACTAATTTTATTATTTGCATAAAGGGCATATTGAAGATAAATAAGAAGCATGTCATATTTACAAAATATATGTATTTCTCTGTAGGAGGATATACGCCGTGTATGTATGCATGTATGAAATACACACATTTTGGAGCTTTAATTTGCTTGGTGTTGAAACAACCACAAAACCGTTTGTTTTTGGAATCTTCGCCCAGTATTTATATCTGAGCATTATTCTGTAAATTGAATGCATTATTTGCTCCCTAATTCATTTGAATAATTAAAAACCAAAAAAAAATTAATGATAAATTTTGATGCCACAAACATTTGAGTTAACACTTTTGCTTAATTATCGAAATCGCTGAGTAAAGCTGTATAAACTTCAGATTCAACACCGCGATGGCTTGGACGATTAAGCTTCTGGTTAAAACGGGCCTAGAATTAAGGCTTGAAGTCCCTACAATGACACATACTACACTACCTGTATGAATAAAAAAAAATTATTTTAGATGCGTGCCTAAGTAAACACATTCACACTGTAGAGTTTATCATCTGTTTAAAACAGCCTTGCGCATTGTCAATAAACAGAAAGAATTATTCGATCGCTCCATGTATTTGCGACCAGCCATATATATA